TAATTGCGATGCAGTGTATTGTGATGGAGAGGTGTAATTGCGATGCAGTGTATTGTGATGGAGAGGTGTAATTGCGATGCAGTGTATTGTGATGGAGAGGTGTAATTGCGATGCAGTGTATTGTGATGGAGAGGTGTAATTGCGATGCAGTGTATTGTGATGGAGAGGTGTATTTGCGATGCAGTGTATTGTGATGAAGGGGTGTAATTGCGATGCAGTGTATTGTGATGGAGAGGTGTAATTGCGATGCAGTGTATTGTGATGAAGGGGTGTAATTGCGATGCAGTGTATTGTGATGGAGAGGTGTAATTGCGATGCAGTGTATTGTGATGAAGGGGTGTTATTGCGATGCAGTGTATTGTGATGGAGAGGTGTAATTGCGATGCAGTTTACTGTGATGGAGAGGTGTAATTGCGATGCAGTGTATTGTGATGAAGAGGTGTAATTGCGATGCAGTGTATTGTGATGAAGGGGTGTAATTGCGATGCAGTGTATTGTGATGAAGGGGTGTAATTGCGATGCAGTGTATTGTGATGAATGGTCTCATTGCGATGCTGTTTAATGTAATTAAGTGGTGTCATTTCGATGCAGTGTATAGTGATAAAATTATCTCATTTTGATCAAGTACTTTGTGATGAAAAGGCGCCATTTCGATGCACTGCATTGTGATGAAAAGGCGCCCTTTCGATGCAGTGTATTAAGATGGAGACGTGTCATTGCGATGCAGTGTATTGTGATGGAGAGATGTCATTGCGATGCAGTGTATTGTGATGGAGACGTGTCATTGCGATGCAGTGTATTGTGATGGAGACGTGTCATTGCGATGCAGAGTATTGTGATTGAGAGGTGTTATTGCAATGCAGTGTATTGTGATGGAGACGTGTCATTGCGATGCAGTGTATTGTGATGAAAAGGCGCACTTTCGATGCACTGCATTGTGATAAAGAGGTGTTATTGCGATGCATTGTATTGTGCTGGAGAGGTGTAATTGCGATGCAGTGTATTGTGATGAAGGGGTGTCAATGTATTGCTATTATTTGTCATTGAACAATATCAGTGTCATGCAGTATGTTGCGATTAAGTTGTGTCACTGCGATGCTGTGTTTTGTGAAAACAAAATATAAGACTACTTTTGATGACTTGAATCAAGATCAAGATTCCCTGATCATGACAACTTGAATATTTTGATTCCTGAACTGATTGAACGGTCTTGTATTTCCACAGTTGCAAATCTAGATCTAGTGTTTCCACACTGGGGTGAGGAGGTAAAATGGGGTTAAACCTCACGTTCAAGGTTATTGCACTTATATAGGGACGCGTGAGTGTGCCTGCTTGTACCTATCTGAACTTTAACCGATTTTTTATTGTTAACCGACTACCATATCATTATTCGAACTAACATGGGCAGCCCAATCACACATATCAGACTGACTCAGAACCGACCAGTACTTGTTTTATCCCCTTATTGCCGAGCGCCAGGCAATGAATAATCAAGTACCATCTACATATTCTCTATCCACTACACCACGGTGACGGTCCATTCGAAGTTGATAGTAGTACTTCATAGTTGAATAAACCTTAACCCATACCCTACCAAGAAGGCGCTGTAATATATCATGTCAGGAATGCCTTGTTCCATGCCACGCAAGGAATGCCCTGTGCCATACCACGCCGAAATGCGCTGTACCAAACGTCACTATAATAATTCTCGGCCTGTGCGCACCAGACCCGTGCTCTTGGATTTTACCAAAGAGGCAAACATTTACGACATGCGTCACTTCGGGCTTCCCCTAACATTCATCTGAGCCAATGTATTACGGAAACACTTACCTCACCAACTCTTCATCAGTCACCGATCGGAAGCACTTATCCATAATTTCTGTGATGTATGTCATACACAAAGTATAGGCCATGATCGAATTATCTTTCTTGGCAATGGTCAATAACTTAAAGGAATGGTCCTTTAGGAATTCAATATGAAATAATGACATAACAAAGAGGACGGAATTGGTATGGTAGGGACGATTACATTGTTGGGTGTCACTGTAGACGGCTAATGTAACTTTAGTTGCATACACCCTGGGGAGCTGATAATACAATTAGGATGCAGATTGTCCGTTAACTGGGGTAATAAAGGAATGCGCTGGGAGAAAATGTAATATAGTGACTTATTATTATAATTATTATTATTATAATTATTATTATTATTATTATTATTATTATTATCATTATTTACAGATTAAAATTTAAAAATGCAGCAAAGAGGGGTTGGGTGATCAGGCTGGTTAGGCTCATCATCATCTCAGGGCCCTTGCACCCTCTACACGCAGCCCAGACAGCGAATGGGACTTCTCCCAGGAAGCGCTGCCTCGTCAAACCCATCCAGAACTTTTTGGAGAATGTGGAGACTCCCCAACACTGCAGCCCTCTGCATTACCGAGATTGTCAGAAGGGCTGTATTCCTTGTAGCAAACCCGGGTACTCTCCCAATGCCAGTCAACGGATTGGGAGGTACCAAACCTAACGCACCGAGAACAATCAGGAGTCGGACAACTTGGTACTTGGGATGCGAGCGCGACATTTCGAAAGCGAGGTCCGCATATTTGCCATGTTTTCCTCAAATCTTGTCAATCACATTAGTGTCAATAGAGACAAAAAATTCAATAATATATGATTTCATTGGATTCATCAAAAAGGACAAGATCAGGTGTGTTGGCCTGGAAACGTCTGAGGCTGTATACGGGCCTATTCCACAGGATTTTGTATTTATCATTTTCCATGACGCCCTCTACATAATCCGGGTCGTACCATGGATGGACCTCTGTGTAAAAACCACAAGCATGGCGAAGAAGGTAATAAAATGATCGAGCCACTCTATCATATCGCTTAAGATACTATGTTTGTGAGATTATGTCCAACACCCTTATGAAATGCCTTGTTTTCATCATGAGTCTTGACATGCTTCACAAGAGGACAAATATCACCAGACAAATAAATGTGTGCAAAAGTGCACAAAACAATTCTGTCACGAAGAGCCCTCTCATAATGATTGGTAAATATAACCGATTGAGGGAAGAGCGAGGGTGGTGTGATCTATTGTCTGACATGATTCTTCGTGTGAGGGTATCAATACCCTGAATTTCTTGTTTCGTTCAATCAACAACACCAAACAAATACGAAAGGACGGGTACAGCATACGTAACTTGTGGCTTTTACTTTTGAACTCCAGATTTTCTTGAGTCTACATTTGTACTCTGCTCGAAGTTTGTCCTTGAGCATATGGGCATTCTTGAGTTTGTCCCTAATCTGCATCCCTAAGTACGTATAGGCCTGACCTTCCACGAGATGGTAAATAACTCCTCCTCCAAGTAAACTGAATGATCCTCCCTCTCCCACCTTGCCACGTTTCAGATGAAGAATATTGCATTTGTCGAGTCCAGAGGAAATGTCCACATCGTTAGAAGAGGACTCGACAAGAAGAATTTCCCTTTTTGTGGATTCTCCATTGGCAATAAGTTTAAGGTCATCCATGTAAAGGACGTGAGTAAGGGGTGTTAGGGATCTGTGCTGAAGAGGTCCAGGATGATAACCTTCCTCGTTGCTAAGCATTAAGCTAAAAGAATTTAGTGACAAACAGAAAAGCAAAGGATGAAAAGAATTGACCTGAAATATTCCTCTTCTAATAGAAATGGGTTCCAAAGGAACCACTTGCCCCTGTGAATACATCTCAAACTGAGTTGACCAGCAATTCGTAAAACTAGTAGTCGCTCTGGAAGGTAAATACATTCCAGTGACTTCAAATTCCAAGAAGGATCATTTTCGAACTAGAAATTGATCCTTACAACCCAACATCCCTATCTGTCTCCTTTCTGCTCCATGTAAACCACGTCATTGGAAGCGTAGTATGATGACACAAGATCTGTAAGACACGCCCTATATATTTTGTATTGTGTATATAGACTAGTAATAGGGTGGAAGTTTTTAGGGTCCGTCAAATCACCTTTCTCTGGGAGAAGTATCGTTCGACCTTTGCATAACCAAGGCGGAACATCCCTTGTATCTGCAAGAGAATTAAAACAGAGAAGTAATGGTGTTTGGACACATGGGAACAGTTTCCAATACCGGTTTCGAATACCATCAGGCGCCGTATTAGATTTCTATTGATTGGATTTCTAATTACCTTTTTCAGGCAATCGGGTGTAATGAAACACAACAATGAATTACTTTGTTTTGTCATATGCATTATTATCTTCTAACCATGGTTCTCGAGGTTGCAGTTGCATAGACCACAACTGTGTCCAAAACCCTTCATTGGAATCAACGGTGGGTCTTTCCTTATCAATTCCATTGGTTGCATTTAATTGCCTGTAAAACTGTTTTTCATTAAATTTGAACAGTATATTTTATTTTATGAAATTATTTTTCCACTTTCCTTTTCATTCTGTCCAGACGTTTAACTTCGCGTTCAGTGAATTTGATTTAGAATTTAGCTACTGCTGGAACTGCGCAAAGAGTGTTGTCAGTTCACGGCGCATATATAAATATAGTCACCGGAGATGGTTCCGGATATTTGGTTCTGTCAGGTATGCACACATTGGCATGGCGTTGCCCCAAAGCTGCTATTTGCTATTTACTCGTGGTATTTCTGGTCACCCTGTTGCTTGTATGTCCAAGATATTCTTGGGTGTGTTCTGTGCCCCCCCTGGTGCAAGTCTCATCTCCCGTGTGGTTGGTTTGTATACCGGAGGAAGGCTGACTGGGTTGCGGAGTTAAAAAGATTTCTTCTTGGCTTTCTGTAATCGAGTTTTGAACCAGTTTCGTGGGGTTATCCCTAACTGGGTGATATAAGTTTAGTTCAGGGGAATATATAAGTCCTCCTTATCTCGGCCCACCACGGAGATACGTACATCATTAGGTCATTATTATTGTTGTTGTTGTTGTTGTTTTTGCTAGTATTTACGCGATTGACGTTCCAACTCATTCAAGCTTTCTCTCCCCAGTGTCCGCCATATACTGTGTACAGTGCAGCAGCGAGACGAACCCGTACTGCCAGGTGCCGGACATGATCGACCCGATGCCTTGCCCAGCGAACCACGACTTCTGTGTGACCACCGTTGTCTTCATGGGGAGCTTGATAAGTGGTGGTGAGCTGTCATGTTCTATCGGATAGAATGAATAAAGCGAGTTATTGTGTAATTGTAGGAATGGGTTTAACACCGTTGTGAACAATATTACAGCTGATGTCGCGGCGTCTCAGCGTGATGTGGGAGGAGAGGAAAACTGATGCAGATCTAGTCGTTTACAACTTTGGTGAAACCCACAAGCACGATGACAAACATGATAACAAACCTAGTAACATAATCGGGCAAAACTAGGATTCGAACCCGCGATTATTGGCTTCTGGCACGCCTAAGGGACGCAATTCTGCAAAGCACGTTTTGAGTGAATAGAGTCAGGTGACATGTATAATCATTATGAAACACACCGTAAGTCAGGACGGAGCTAAATCCCTTTGCAATCCGTGAGCGAATGTACGGGAAACGAATAACAGAGACGAAGAAGTGACCGGATTTACGGACTGACGCGTTCCGGGTAAATGTGGTTTCACCGTATACAGAAATCAGGTCTTATGTTATACATGCATGCTGAATGGGACTGTCGTATTTCATCATGTAAGAGCTCCATGCGTATAGAAGTGTATATAACTTTTTCAAAGGTATTTCTAAAATCTGTTATTTACTTTAACAATCAAAATAAAGAAAGAAGGCGGTTACTGTGCATTTCATTTTCTATATACGCATACAGTGCAAACATTCATCGTGTTAACAGCTTTGCATAAAGTATAATTAAAATTATATAACTTTAAAAAAATATTTTAACGACATATGGATAAATCGTGCATCTATTAAAACATAATACTGTTAGTACGTGCGGATTTACGTATTTCCCTCAATTTCATTCACTTTCGCAATAAGCAATACGTTACCTGCAGAAACTTTGGACCTATTATGCTGTATGTTGGACGATTTGACTTTCATTTTGTTATTTTTGGCTTCATCTCTTCATATCAGCCGTAAACTGACAGATGGAGTTGCGCAGTCAACTCAATACCGTACCCGTAGAGATTCTTAAGTATATGAACAGATTCCATGGAGGTGGGAACAGCAATGTGGCATTGCACGCATAGATTCATATTGTATATTAATAATTATAATTATTAGAAATCTGCTGGTATAATTGTATCGGACACTATATGTGATTTATAGATTTAGTATGTGTACAGAACTATCGCTGTTGATCCTGTATAAGATCCAAGCACACATGTAGATATTACATCCTCCCTATGGTCTTTGGGCCGATTGTAAAACTTAAAAATATATATATCGTTTTCAGTTTCAACAAAATCAGTAAAGACATGTACGCTATCGTGACACTGGATTTTCTGGTCCATTACTTGATTGTCTGGTTCGTTCACTGCTGTGCAGCGTCTGGACAGGGCAAGCTTTCCACATTTTCGCCAACACTTCGTGTAATTACTTATTTTCAGTAATCCATTCATGTCATATTTACCGCTTTTTCGTCGGATAATCGAAAATGGTTAACCTCTGGTAGTAACGTTTTAATTTAAAATGATTATGATGACATCACGCTTATGGTGTTGCTATTGATTCTGAGCCGTGAATTCACTGGCCAGTCTGGACAAAATTTAGACAAGTAAAACTGATGCAACTATTGGTCATTCTGCAAAATTATAGATAAATTATATATCAACCATAACATGGTATTACTTCTGAGAAACCCCAGAATCTGGTAATTCAACAGACTCGAGTGATTTCCCCATTACACAATCTGTGTTTGACTCAATAGTTAATGCAGTTCTTTAACACTGTATATCACGACTCCTTATTGGTGGTACAACTCTGACTGCGTCTGACTTAAGCCCAGGTACAGGCGGTAGAGCCACATCAGACTCTTACGTTTAAATATTACAGCTCATTGCGGTAGTGGCAGTGTTTCGGTGCAGGCGAACTCTATTACCCGCTTCAATCGATGGCACCGTCAAAGCTTACCATGCTAACTGTACGCAGCAAACAACTACATCATGTCCCCCTCCTCGTCCAATCTACCACGATCCTCATCTTTCATCCACTTTTAAGGATCGGCGGAAGCCGTGAATCAACATAAAAAGGTCTTGCCTGACTATGAAGTACGGACAATGCTATTTATATGGCGCCATACTTCCACACCACGAAGCGGCATGCTCAAGACGTAAACAGAAGAAATAAAACACACAAGAAATGTATACAAAATAATAAGAGATCCACTTGAATGAAGAGTCAACTGTTCAAGGACGTGTGTCTTTAGTCTTGACTTGAATGACGACAGAGTAATGAGAAGTAGAATAAAGTTCTAATGGTGAAGCAGCGACGTATAGGCACGAACCAAATGACTTGAGTTTGTAAGGTGGGATGTCTATTAGGAGGTGATCAAGTACACGAACACGTCTATCAAGGCCGTAGTTAAACCTTTTTTTGACAGAGGGGGGGGGGGGGGCAAATAAGATTATTCATTTCCTATTCAAGTTAACTTTCACAAGGGAAAATGTTTTCTATAAAAAATCCAGAGGGGCAACTGCCTAATCTGCAGTCACACAAGTTAGTGCGTGGTAAATGCACATGCCACTTGACATTATGTACATTGGTATCATGTGTACAGTTACATCTAAACCAAAGCAAGACACGACGTTGTTACCGAACCATGTCACACTGACATGTCAGACATCCAACCCCAACGCCTTTCCATGTAACGACATGCCTTTACTCAGACACAGTATACTAGAGTAGATTTTAAGTGGTTCCAACACTGTGATTAACGTGGGAGTTTCTATTTTCTGCAATCTAGTTTCAAATTCCTGTCAATTGCCATCTTCAAATACAGGGATGCAAGGCTACCGACGAACCAGACAGTATAATTGTAGAGCTACGGTTACCTCCAAGACGTATTGTGACGTGCACGGACCCACGTTTGTTCACCTGAGCATCTTGGTCTCTTAAAGAAGTTGACAAAACTTAATCATCATCCTTTGTGCTGAACATTTCATCGCCCTCACCGGGGCGGTCGGGTAACCTAGTGGTCAAAGCGTTCACTCGTCATGCCGAAGACCCGAGTTCGATTCCCGACATGGGTAAAATGTGTGCAGCCCATTTCTGGTGTCCCCCGCCGTGATATTGCTGGAATATTGCTAAAATCGGCGTAAAACCATACTCACTCACTCATCGACCTCACCTTTATATTGAAGATTTATTGTGACGTGCACGGATCCATCTCTTGTTCCTCTGAGCTTATGGGCCTTCAAAGAAGTTGATCAAACTTGCCGTTTATCTATGCAGATAGAGTTCTTACTTAATGGTTAGTTCGATGATGGAACAGAACAGGTACACACGTATGTATACGGTACAGAACATTATGTCGGGTCAAACATGACATGTGACCTTAGAATTGATTATAGTGTACTCCAAGCCTTTCCACCATCATACATTAAATTGAGGTATAGTTGGTAAATTTAAACATACATAAATCCACAATTCCATCATATTTCTCCTGTTGCCACCGAAAATGTAACATTATAACACAAGAAAAAAAAATAAGACATGGTACTATTGCATTAAATCGTGATTTATTTAAAAACTGTAAAAACGAGGACCGAAACTGCCGATGTGGAAATCTTATATATATTTTTTCATGGAATGTTCATTTTTTCTAAATTAGCCAGTAAACGATCTTATTCACACCTGACCCCTCAAAGGCAACACATACTTCATGTATATTTTGATTTAAATATCCACTGGAATAAATCAATCCGAAGTCCACTTGACAATTTCTTGACAAATATATTACGAGAATGTGTACTTTACTGAGAAACTGTTATCCCAAATAAAACATTTGATCGCTAAAAAAATAAAATAAAACTATATAGATCGCTACGAGGTACATGTTTGATGTCGTTCTCAGAAGCTGAAAAAAAACCCGTTAATGTTTGCCATGAAATCATAAACCTACTGGTATATATTGTTGTGTTGAAGATTCATAAAAAAGTAGATCACGTGCCTTCTATAAACGATCCCAATGTTTTCAACATGAAGTTTGCCTTTGCACGTATGGCACGAGCAGAGTGTACCCATCTGACAGCCACGTGCGTGATCCTGGTACAGGTGCCAGCCCCTGCTACAGTGTACAATGCCTAAGGCTGATCCCACTGCTTACATCTTCATTTGTTCAACAAGTAAAACTCTGTAAAGCACTGCTAGAAATACAACATCACATACCACTGCAACATCAAGCATTTTGGACCGTGCCAGTTATTCATGTACGCAGTAATACACAATACGTCAGGTTTGGCGAGGCAATGGAAAGATTAATCTGAATGCTGACATAGCGCCATAGCATCGATAAGGATTCTACCGGGACAACAAACTACACAGTTTCAAACGATACATTGGGCTGATCAAGTTTGAAATAACAGGGTTTCACTGCATAATTAATAAAATCACTAAATAACACCCTGTGGTTGGCAAACTTAACGTTCTCGATGTTCCGTTTTCCCAAACATAAAGGGGCAGTGAGGTATTCTAGTGGTTCACGTGTTTTCTAGTCGCGCCTAATTAAGGCCCGGATCGATTCCCCATAAATGTACAATGTGTAAAGCCCATTTCCGATGTGATATTTCTGGAATAGGGGTAAAAGTGGTGTGAAACCATACTCACTCACGGACATTTCCTCCAGATTTAGGATGTTTTTTGTTTGTGTTTGTTTCTTTAAATATTCTGCATTATTTCGGATATCATATGTAATATTTCTTACAATGTCTAGTTTTGCTCTCTTCTCATCTCACATGTTATCATCACTGATCTGTAACAAATCGGGCTTTCCTTCCACATAAAGCTCACATGCCGTGATATAACTGAAGTAATCTCCCTACCAAACTCTCTCACAGTTTCACGACAGTTTGTTTCTCAACATCTGTATCTAGGTCCTTTTTTCAGAGAATCATAAAATCATCTCATTTGCTTCAGCAATCAATCTTGAAAACAAAGTTCCTTTTGAGAAGCCTGACAAACTCGTTCTTTATTCCATACGAACAAGCCTCATTTCAACTGAACCTATACAACTGATACATTTCATCCCCATCTCATGTTACTAAAAGCGACACCCACATTAACGTTAACGTTCAACAACGTAAGAAGCACCTCTGTGATATTTAATTTGTAAGGCCTGATGTGTACTTTTGTTCAAAATACTTCAATTTGGTGTCTAAATTGGTTCACGTCTAAGACCTGCTTCCCTTCTGACTTTCTCCTTAATCAAGCCGACAAACTGTTCAAAATAGGGTTTATCTGTCTTTTTATTTAGTGTTACATGTTTCATGTTTGTTTCGGAATCATGAATTATCTAATTCTGTTTTACAACAATCCTGAAAATAGAATTCCCTTTTGAAAGCCCAAACAAGGTCGTTCGTGAGCAAAGGCTTCGTTTCAGAGAAAAACATAAAACTGATGCAACTATATGGCTCTGTTCCTCATCTCGCCGACATAACGTTTGAAAAAGAGCTGTGTCTTTTGTCCAAAATAGTTAAAATTGATGTCTACAAAATGTCAACTCGTCCACGTAATTAGGGGTCTCAATTCAATGTATGTAAGGGGTAGTTTGTATTCTCTGGGCTAATAGGAACTGTCAATCTTTCGCAACATTTGATAGTTGTGTTATTGGAGTTAGGCTAAATGTGCCATAGTTACTTCGGATCATGCAAAGTGAGGTAATGTCATCGCCCTGGCGTTAAAACTAATCTGCTGTGACTCCCCACGACATCATCTGCAATAACATCGTCGCATGACATTAATAAGCACATTTCCGTAACAGACTATTTGCTATTATCTGTTATCTATGCCACCACATGTGACGTACTATGTCAAAACAAATATGCGATGCGTTGTATCCCATAATAGTTCACTATGGCTAATTGGTATCTCATCACTCTAGTTCTGTCAAGTTACAGAGTAGGCTACACAAATACACAATTTCTCTTCTCTTCTCACATGTTAGCATTACTGATGGAATAGCAAACATTAAATACGACTGGTTTTCATGTTTTAGTTTTTCCTTAGGCGAGACTTTTTAATGACCTTTATCTTTTTGGGTAGTTTTCAAAGGACCTGAATTTTAAGATCTATTCAAGTTGAGAGAATTGGGGAAAGAGGCTAGGATGAGATTACATGAACAAATGATAAAATGTTGTAGCAATGAGGTGTTTTTTTCTCAGACATTACATTGATAAGCCATGTCAAACATCTCAATATTCCAGCAGCTCCAGCAAGCTCTTTGTACTAGACTCTAGTCAAAAGTTCTTTGATCAGACTCACATCATACAAGGCCTTTAGTAACATTTTATAGAAGACAGGATATTACCAAATTTGACGCAGCAATGAACAAGATGATGTCCGGTGCAATTCCATATTTGGACTTGTACCATAATTTTGTTCCCGTATTTGTTCAGGTGAACAGTTGACTTGCCTTTGCATATATGTGACTAATGAGGCAGGATAAACTCACATTTCCGGGACCGACTGGTATCCTCACTACTGTTTTAAGCAGAGATTGTTAAGGATTAGGGTAAAATTAATGCTGTTGTCGCCTTCATCTTAAAAGTTCTGCAGATTTGACACCTTGTAAAAAATCTCTAAACAAAGAAAGAACAGTTTAAATCCGACCCTTGATTCTTAAATCAGTAATTATAGCATTTCCAAATACATGAAGTAACTGTTGTTTTACGTCACTGGCCACACTGCTCCAGCTAGAGTACGATTCGTCTGGTCCAGGAAACCAATGATACCATCAGGGTAAGATGACAAGGTCAACCAAGTCACAGCACTGTCCTCCCGATATCCATGATATTCCGTCCTTACAGGCAATGTACAGAATAAGCTTTGAATTCCTAACCTGAATAGAAGAAAACTGTCCTCCCGATCTCCATCATATTCCGTCCTTACAAGCAATGTACAGAATAAGCTTTGAATTCTTAACCCGAATAGAAGAAAACTGTCCATCCGATCTCCACCATATTCCGTCCTTACAAGCAATGTACAGAATAAGCTTTGAATTCCTAACCTGAATAGAAGAAAACTGTCCTCCCGATCTCCATGATATTCCGTCCTTACAAGCAATGTACAGAATAAGCTTTGAATTCTTAACCCGAATAGAAGAAAACTGTCCTCCCGATCTCCATCATATTCCGTCCTTACAAGCAATGTACAGAATAAGCTTTGAATCCTAACCTGAATAGAAGAAAACTGTCCATCCGATCCACATTATATTCCGTCCTTACAAGCAATGTACAGAATAAGCTTTGAATTCCTAACCCGAATAGAAGAAAACTGTCCGTCCGATCTTCATCATATTCCGTCCTTACAAGCAATGTACAGAATAAGCTTTGAATTCTTAACCCGAATAGAAGAAAACTGTCCATCCGATCTCCATCATATTCCGTCCTTACAAGCAATGTACAGAATAAGCTTTGAATTCTTAACCCGAATAGAAGAAAACTGTCCATCCGATCTCCATCATATTCCGTCCTTACAAGCAATGTACAGAATAAGCTTTGAATTCCTAACCTGAATAGAAGAAAACTGTCCATCCGATCGACATTATATTCCGTCCTTACAAGCAATGTACAGAATAAGCTTTGAATTCCTAAATATCAGATCAATTAAAGCAGGTTAAAGGAAATTTAATGTTTTTATTACCTTCTCTTAAGAACTTCCTCTATTTTCAGATCGCGTTTTGAAAAGAGGTTGCAGCGTTAGCCATTCATCCGGCTGTGAACAGAATAACCGGTATCTCACCTGCCACATTCCATGTCGTCAGAACGGCTGCAATGCCGCCGTCAACCTCCTCAGGTAACAACTTCGACGATGATGGAAAAATATCCTTGAATTGAATCGGATCCCATACGTTTCCGGATGTTGTTTCAATAATTCAGAAGATTCAGCTCGGCATGGAACACCCCATCTGTGTCTGTGAACTATCGCTGCTACTGATGGCATCTTGGTGTATAATGGTGGCTGCAGATGTCATGTCTGGGGATGAAGAGACAATGAGATTTTTTTTTCATTTTTCATCACATTTTATCCCCTAAAGAGCTTGCGACATTAAACAACCTGCATGGCAGATATGTTAAGTACTATTTATTACTCTTTACATGGTATGTGGAGAGAGGTGTCTTGGTTCGATAGTGTAAGATTATTTGGTAACTGTAACTATATTATCAGTTCAGTTATAATATATAATATATGTTAGAGCAACGGCTACGTCGTGTATATAGACCAGTGTGCAATAATCTTGGGCAGAAGAAATAGGCGCTCTTACGATACAGTATAACTCACCACAACAGTCACAGGAAATACATTTATATATTACGTCTTGTGAATAAAGTTCACGTTTATGTGTACCCCGTGTTGCTTACTTGTTGACCTTCTCATTAAAATCAGATCTTAGTTCTCGCTATCCCTAAACAAAGATCTGAGGACATCCCATTACAGGTCACGTCAGAACGACCTTTCATCCCACCAATCAGAGCGTCGCTTACCAGATCGTGAAAGTGACAGTCGGAAGGTGTTTTCTAATCATGCAACCTCGAAAACGTTACCACGGGATATTCCGAACGACAGTTACGGCCCGCACGACTGATGCCGTGAAAGATTTATCGTCTATATCTCTCTTCCGTGGGATAAACATTTGAACGGAGGAGGCGTTGCACAGTACGTGGAAAGCACTGCCATACAATCTCAACCATATATTAGACATTCCGGAATGTTCGTTTGTTCCGCTTTCAAAATTTTCAACTGTGTCAACATATTTTTAAAGCGTAGTCTGAAATGGAAGTCGCTAGGTTGAAACGAGTGACGTAAAGCTCGAGAAAGCTGCTTTCTAATTGGCTGATGAAGTCATTTCAGTGGTCGGTCAAAGTTCGCGAAATATCGTTCTGACTTGGCCCGTAATGGGATGTCCTCAGATCTTTGTTTAGCGGCAGCGAGAACTTAGATCTGATTTTAATGAGATTGACTTGTTGACAGTATACAATGAAACTCCGAAACTGCGACCTGTACAGCACAGGTCAACACATTTTAGGACAGGGTGAGTGAGTATGGTTTGAGGCCGCGTTTAGGAACATTCCGGCAATATCACTGTTGGGAACACCAGGAATGAGCTGCATACATTGTACCCATGAGGGGAATCGAACCCGGGTCTTCGGTGTGACCATGTGACGCATAGATGCATGAGGGTGTCTATTTTTAGATAAGGACTCCTGTGATTCAACTGAGGGGCAATGGAAAGTATACGGAGTTTATAATTGAAAATTGAAAGAAATGTTTTAAATTTGGATTATTTCTATTTGATCATCACTCATTCCTGCAACAGTTTTGTAAAGAGTCATCTGTGGCCGGGTGATTTTGTGTAAATAGCATTGATTCAATGAAGAAGGGGGTAAGAAATGAATTTGCAACGACATAGACTTTGAAAGATGGGATGTCTAATATGCACATAAGCAGTTGGATATTATGCGAAAAGAAATCATTTATTTTTAAAAGTTTCAAATCGAAGTATATTTCTAAAGATAAAACCAGGTAGAAGTTTTTTTGAGTCCTGAATAATCGTAGATGTAGTTCATTTTTGGGATATACATTGTACTATCGCTATCTTAAGACACATTTAATTGAAAATCAAACATATCATAAACTCAAATGATATGTACATGTATAGTTTCTTTTTCTTCTCAGTTTATAATAACTATTCATAACAATTTAATTATTTAATAACTATTTACATGGGAACATAGCCATACGCTGTTTTAGGTACCGGTGAGGCTATGCATAATATTTCAACAATTGCTACCTCTCAGTAAAAAATGTCATTTTATTGAAGTGATTATTAGGCTAATATAACAAGCTGTAAAAGGGGTTTATATATTCCACGTTCCTGATTTTTTAGTCGGCGGATGCCTAAATCGAAAACGCCTTTCACAAACTGCAAGGCAAAAGAACGCGAAAATTGGATTTGACCAAAAATTTAAAAACGTTACTAGGCTTAAAGCAATCGCCTGTTCTGAGATACTCAATGACATGATACATATAATATCGCCAATGCAATCCGTATAAAATATATCATAATCTAATAACAATAACAACTTCTTTCGGTTTACATTTAGTGGTTGTATTATTTGATTAAGATTTTGATGCAAGATTATTTATTTCAATAACAATCTATGCTGCTCAGAATTCTTAATATTGATTTGAAATGGCGCTTGAGAAAGACTTCTCGTCAGCACTGTTGGACGATGATCCATATCTGTACATCCGATATGACTTCATGTCTGCAAGACTAATACACACTGGTCGACACATCTATTTATTCATTAAGCAGCATCCGGAGGCATCACGCCCCTCTTTGTCCCACGCAAAACTGATAGGGGCACTTAAATCTGAGTTCCCTCTATATTACCTCGCCCTGTGTGATACGTTGGCTAAATGTTGGTCAAGAGGTACACGTGTATACTCAGCTAAATAATTTACGCAACATAGCTTAACAAAGTTACTATGACAGCAAGACATTCAGTCATAATGCAACAAGTTTAACTCGATGGCTTGTGGATAATAGACCAGGCATACCAGTGATTGCTATAGTGAGCAACGCCTGACACTCGGGGTATGATGACACGCAATCAAGCATGTCGCAGAATTGGACCATGACGTTAGAAAGAGCACTGCACTTGGGCGCAGCACCAACATGGGAATGTCTCGATCACAGTGTCACTGGAAGCCATGGTTATTCCCTTCCACTAAACCAATTACCCGACCTGCCCCTTCAGTTGTTGCATGCATCTAACAAGGCAATGTGTATTCTTAATGGTCAAACCCTTAATGGAAAACTGCTTTATCTAAACATGACAAGTCAGGACTTCTCTTTAATAATTGGTTTACGGATTATGTTTCTCAAAACTCGGTATAAAAAAAATGTGATAAAACCCTTCCATTTGGTAAAAACTAATTGTTTGAAAATTGCTTCGGCTGAATAAAAATATGTTTCTTTAAATTCTCACATTTTTTATGGAAATGTTTATTTATCGTTATATGGTAACAAAGCCAGGCTCTGACTGGAGTAGCAATATCAGGTTGGTGAATATAAAAAATACATGTAGATTTTTCTACATTCCCGATGCTTAGTGCCGGCGGATCCGGAAACCATGTAAAACAATAAAAAGGGCAACAAAACACACGTGTATCTCTCAACAGGTGTACGACACAGTGTGCTTCACTCACACTTTCACAACAACCATCGGTGTAAGAAGATTGTGGCTTTAATGTGAGAATGCCTGAATTCTAACTAAACTAACGAGCATAAGAAATGCCACCAAACGCTAAGTTTAGTCACTGTTGATTTTTTATTATAGAAATACAATTATTCAAAAACGGTATTTGAAAATGACAAGATCAAAAACAATATACTTAAAGTTCTGTAGACACGTTTATCATGCTGGGTGCACTGTCCAGTATTCGATCACACCCGCAGAATCGACGTTGATCTCTTTTAAAGTCCTGTGCTACACACATGGCTCAGTATCGGATGTGACCCCTTCCAGCAACGATGCAGCCCTAACACGACGTCGAACTGAGTACACGAGACTCCTAACATCCTGTTTAGGGATCCAAAGCCATTCTTCCTGCAGGGCAATTGCTAGGGCATCCCTCGTCAATGGCTGTTGTTGACGTTTCCGAATCCTGAGTCCAAGTTGGTCCCAGAAGTGTTCTATGGGCGACAGGTCCTTTGATCTGGCTGGCCACTGTAATACGGTCACGTTGTTTGCGTTCAGAAAGTCGCTAGTGACTCGAACTGTGTAAGGGGTGACGTTGTCCTGCTGAAACAGCGTCCGTGGGTGTCGTTCCTGGAAAGGCAGTACCACAGGCCGCAAAACATCATCAATGTAACGACATGCAGTGAGATTTCCGTCGATGATGACCAGATCTGTCTTCTAGTCCCCGCAGATGCCACCACAGACCATGACCGTGACCTTGGGTCTTCAAATCCTCGGCCTGCCTGCACTTCTGCCAGCTGCAGGCTGCCTGTGACTCGTGACAAGTCTGGCGATGATGCACTTGAAGCAGCTCATGAACCTGGCAACGTGCTCCTGCGTCGCTCCCATTTGCAACATACCGATGTCTCTCTCCCTCTGCTCTGCGGTTAGTCGAGGCATGTTCGTTGCTTTAAACGGTTTCATATGATGAGAGAGTACAATCCTGCTCGTATTTTATACCAGAATTTCATACGGACAACTTTGTGCATATTTTGCATTTTGTATTGATTAAATTCACTTTTCTCTCAAATCACGTGAAACACGTGCACATGTTCACATGGAATAGGTAGGTTGCATTCCAGCTATGTGTTCCCAACTGTTTTCGTGCTGTTTTGCAAATTTGTAAAAAAATGACGACCATTATTTATTTGGTGCCGTTTCTTTTGCCCGCTAGTTTACATTAACCTGATGTATTGTATAGGACGAAGTATAGTTATGACCCCCGGTATTATCAGCAATGACGTCGACAATCATTTCAGACAGCCTTATATTATTTCGATGAAATGTACAAGTCCATATATGAAGACAGCGATTTAAACACAGTAGCAAATATCGAGCTAATTACAGCCATTTCTGAAAATAGCTGTTTTGTGCTGAAGTAAGCACGTGACCAGAAAAAAATATCTTCCTATACAACGAGTGTAATTATTATTACTTACCAATGTACATGTGAGTGTTCGGTTGTCCTGATACATGCATGTTATTGCTGACTCGCCTACACGAAATACAGGCAACATTTGTACCTCTTCCATAATGAAAAGGAAGAAAAGAAACGAGGGCAGAATAAACAAACGGAAGTTTACGCTTATTTTGTTATTCAAAACGTCAAAATCTAGCTATACGCTGTGTGTATACAATGATAACACAATGTGTTCGAATCACAGGCGAAACTTCTCTGTTGCACTTCGCTATTGCAACCGAGTTAAAATTTCCAATTACACGAAAACGAGTATGGTGACAAACTTGAGTCGTTCCAATGTATATTTGACATCAATCCAACATAGTACGCCAAAAGAACTATATATTTATACATCACATGTATCGACTTTTTCTCACCTTTTTGGTGCCCTACATATAGATCATATTTTTCTATATATGGAATAACCCTTACATTAGGACTTGGTCAAAGAAATTATCTTTATATGATCCTGTATAAAACCTTCACTTTGTATCCGTTTCTGTAACGAACACTTTGTGCACAGGGCCATGTACCAATAATACATATACGTAAGCCTTACAGGCACATCAACCATCTCAATTGTCTTTGTAGCGTCAAGAAGAAAGGGTTGGTGTAAAATAGAAACTCTCCCCTCATCATC